GGAAGATACAGCTGGGTCATCTCACGGTGTTCCCAGTGGGTTTTGGACCAATTTTTCTTTCCCACTTTGTATTCTCTTATTCTGAATAGCTCATGTGCCCAAGAAATATGTTTTTCCATATATCACATAAGTAATGGAGGGTGTAGCTCTAAACAAGGCTGGCTGACCTGTCCTTGTATTGCCTGAGGGTGACTTGCAGTCTACTGGAATTAGGAGTAATCACAAGTGTTGCCCGTACTCTAGCAGGCATCCTGATGGGAACAGGCAATATTGGCATGTCCAAGCCAAAGCATGTTCTGAATCTAGTTATCTCCTGTGGTTTTGTGAGTTGCGATGGTATTTCACGCTAATATCCAGCTGACTTCCCCAGCTTCCTTTTATCAGAGTAAGCAGAGATGCATTTTCCTTCCTTGGAAATTCCCTGCACAACATTCATTGCAAACTTAGTTTTCTTTTCTTTATGTCCTCTTCCCAGCAGGCCGCTCCTAACCTCCTGTAGCAGGGAGAGAAGAGGAAATGGAGTGAATGGGGCAGGGGCCTGAGGTCTTAGCATTGCCAGGTGTGAAAATGAAGGATGTGTGTGTGGGGTCAGGTTGAGAAATTGAGATTTAAGCAAGAAGGAGGTTAGCTAGAAGCAAAATACAGATTATTCAGGAGAGTTACAGAAGCAATCTCTTTCTCACCGAAAGAAGACAAGAAGATCCAAGCGAGGCCACTCACCTCACTGAAATGTTCCTCAAACAGGATGTTGTCACCTTCAGCATGCATGATGGGAGCTGAAATGGCATGTTCCAAGTCATAGCCAAACCACAGCTTGTTTATAATCGCCTGCAATGAAACAAATCGCACGCTGACTGACTGGAGATATTGAATAAGAACCTGGGTCACATGCTGCCATCCTCTGCACCGGTGTTAAGCCAGACCAGCTCTACTGTAAATCCTGCCTGCAGGATGGTGCAAACCTGGACTGTAAGAGAGGCTGCATTGAGTCAGACCAGAAGTCCTGCTAGACAGGTCTCCTGTCTTTGTGGTGACCAATACCAAATGCTCAGGGTGAGCACATAATGATACTTCCCAGAATGCTTTCCTTGAGCCAAAGTGGTGTCCTTGAATTCAGTAGCTACTGATGGATCTTACATCTTTCTATTGACAGTTGTCCTTTCTGTTTTCAGATCAGGTCCTAGCATGGACTCCTTCCCATGCTTCTCTCCAGTTGAAGAAAGACGAAGAAAAAAAAGTCCTCTTTTTCCTCTTGTGGCCTTATCTGTTTTTATTTCTTGATTGCTGAACAAGATGTTTGTTAGACTTCATGCTTTGGCAAGCTCTTTTTCGTTAAGATTTGTTACTCTGTGTATATGTATGGTGGTGGTTTTCTGTTTTTCTTGTTCTTTCCATCACGTAACTTACCAGTTTATTTTTGCAGCCCCAAGGTTTTGGGCAATACCTCTCCTCCTAATAACTTCCTTAACTTGCTATTTGATTATTCTAACTTCTTCCCTTTCAAAAAAGAATTGAGAGAGGCAGCTGGCATTTGCCACAGAAATGCTAGAGGCAAGAAGGTGAGGATGGACTGAGTCTGCAGCAGGCCCTCTTCACTGCTGCCTTCCACATAGCAGTACTAGCAGCAGCAAAGTAATTCCTTTTGTTCAGGATGGTGTGTGCTCCCCTTGCTCAGTGGAAGGCATTACTGTGCGGTACCTGTTCACTCACCATAGCAGTGGCACTGATAATCCAGGCCCCACCTGCTCCTCCGATCACCAGCATGTCTCCCGTCTTGGAGATGAGAATGGAAGGCACCATTGCTGAGGGAGGCTTCTCTCCTAGAGCAGAGACAGAGAGTATTATTCCTCCCATGTGGCTGTCAAGGGGGTTGGACGGACACACGAGTTTATCTACCTCACCCTTCTTGCATTCCCCATGGAAAACCAAGCTGCTGCTCATTCCTCAAGAAGCTCAAGTCTCCCAGAAAACTAGCTGCTTTGTGCTGAGACCCCATCTCACAAGAAACTGGACCTTTATGCACAGGCTAAGTAGGAAGCATCTCTTGGTGCGGGGCATCCTACAAGCATTCAGGACTTGCTGCAGCTCATTCAACCCAGCCGAGGAACCATTAGCAGCAATCCTGCCATCGCAGTACTGATGTCCTCTCTCATGGCAGACCCAAGGGAGATAGCATCAGGGGTAGCTTATTTCAGAAAGCAATGTCTCTGCATCAACACTGCTGTGTTACAGAACTCAGTGTAAGCCTACAGCATTACTGATGTGATTGTGCATGCAACTATATACTTTTTCACAGATGAGCCTAAAAAGTCGGCAAGCTTGTCTCAGCAGTAGTTTCTTCACTTCTTCCCTCCCCTTCCCATCAATCAATGATCAGCTTCAGCTGTTTGGGTTTTGTTTTTTTTTTTAATCTCCGATTTCCCTGGCCAGAAACCAAAACTCCCGTGTGTCCGTGCAAGGACATATGTGAGCAGACAAGACACACTACGGGACTTTATCCTCTCTTAGTCTGAAACAAACTTGCTCTCATCCAGACCTAGGAAAGGAAAGACTACCTGCAGTTTACAGATAGTCCCTGCCCAGTTGTACATGGCCTGCATATTCATCTCCTGGCTATGTGTTTTATTTTGAGGGTGAGAATGCTCACCTGGTTTAATGCTTCTGTTTGCTATGCAGAAATCAGCGAGTTCGTTATTTAAAATGATCCCGGTTTGGTTAGAATACACAAAGGAGCCAAACCTGCAGGGGGGAAAGAATTAGCCTTTCAGTGACCAGTGCTTTCCTGCTGTGGATGTCATTAACTGTGGGTTACCTCTGTCTCCTCCCCGCCTGCAACTGCCCCAGCCAGGGTGTCCAAAAGGTGTTTGTGCTGCTGTGCTGGAGCCAGAGATAAGCTCCCTGTTAGTAGTGGAAGTGGGGATTTCCCCAACTCACAGAAACTCAGCAGAGCTCAGCAAGTTGTTACATCTTCGTGAATTGTGATGTTCCTTTGGGCTGATGCTCAGAGACCTTTGCTGTCACATGAGAAATGCATTCGTAAGAGACTGCCTAAATCTGTGAAGCCCAAGGGTTTTGCGTTGCTGGTAAACAGCCCTTGCAGGTACTCTGTGAACCTGATACATGGCCTGTGTGATTCAATTACCAACCCCTTGGCTACTCACGGGTAGTTGATGGTGCTGGTGGCGGACACGGCACTGCCATCTGCAGCGAGCACAGAGATGTGGCTTGTGCCCTTACTTTTGTATCTGTGGTTGTAGATGGACTCCAACAAATTGTAATGGTTGAGTGGATGGTCACCACGGTCATCTATTCGGCTTCTGGCAAGCTCAGCAATCTTGTCAGACAGCATGGTCCCCACAGTCATCTGCAATCGCAGCAAGGACACTGAGCTTGTGTCACCAAAGCACAGGCATGTCTGTCTTTGGGCACAAGGAAGCCTGAGGGATTCAGCCCCAATAGTCAGAGCTTGGGGACCTGCATTGGCACCATTCAGCCCCAGCCTGAATCCCCACGCCACTCTCATCACAGAAACCAAAACAAGCTCAGTACTGAGGCACCTCAGCGTTGGCATGAGCACGTGCACATCCTTTATCAGGTAAGCGAGCACCAGCCTACAGCTGAACAGAAACTGCAGAAAACAAAGTAAATGGCCTAATCCTGCCTCTGCCTTGGCCAGCTGAGCAGCATTGCTCTTGACTAGCAGTTCTAAGTATTTTCTTTCCTTCCGTGGCTGCAAAGCAAGAGGGTGTCAGAGCTTCGCTTGGTACTGCAGCATTGTGCTGGCAGGCAGGATAGTCTGGGCAATAGGCAGCCTGCTTGAGGGCTTAGCACACAGACTAAAATGAGTTGGTGACAATGCAGGTTTAAAAAAAAAAGGCAGGAAATGGACTTCCCTGCTCCCTCTCTGTCAAGCAGCAGTGTAGAAGAAGCTGCCAGTGCTGTGGGTGCCTGTGGCTGCCCTTACGCACCATGCCAGCTCACCTGAGCTTCCGAGAAGGCTGGGTCACTCATATGGGGTTTTAGCACACTGCCGAACTTCAGGGCCTCTGCAATGCGATGGTAGGTTTCCACCTTCTCCTTGGGTGTCGCCAGTGATGCTTCATGGAGTTTATACTCTACGGAGCAGGATGAAATAATTTTGTTAATAGACCCAAGGCAATGTTTTTTCAAGAATTGTAAAAAAAAAAAAAGTTGAAAGGAACCTCCTTTTCCCATCCCAGTTCTTATCAAGTTTCCCTATGCTTTAGCAGCATGTGGGCACAGAAACAACCAAGTACTAATTTCCGCTGTGACTTGAATTCCTCTTGAAGCTTTGGGAAAATCGTGTATCCTTTGGCCTTTGTAGCAGTTATGGTGATGCTGACCCACTGTAAGAATGAACCAGTTCATCATCCTGCTGCACAGCATGGTCACGCTGCTGCTTTGGGGCCCATTCTGGCTCATCAACTCCATTTCTCCCCATTACTTTTCTACCTCTCTAGAGCAACACTTTTTGCAAATGTCTTGCTGCCCCTTTTCCCTTAGGAATTTACCTTCCAATATCTTGAGGATGAACATGAGCACAGCACCTCCCATGGGTGGTCCAGGAGAAAACACCGTGGTGTGATTGTTCAGGGTAATGTTCAGAGCTGAAGACACCTCTGCTTTGTATGCCTGAAGGTCTTCCAGTGAGATAGTGGACCCTTCAACAGAAAACCAGACGGGTAGCTGGCATTAGCACATTAACTTCTACTAGGTGCTATGGGCTGGCTGCATCAGAGCCTTGGTAAAGCTTGTAAAGAGCCATCCCTGTACACTCCAAATTTCTTCCACCAAGCACAGCAATGTCTTCATGTGTCCTCATCTACTGCCAAACCCCAGGACATCACAAAGCCAAAGGGAGTTGGAGAGGCCAGTGCATGAGCACTGTGGGTGAATGCCACAGCAATAGGTGGCTCTCAGCCCTGCTTCTGGGCCTGAGTTATAAAAACTGCGGAAAGGTGGCCCCTTCCCATGTCAGGTACCACCCCAAGTGGCAAGCAAATGGCATGTGTTGGCTTTCCCCTGGTACCGACTCACTGTTAGCCAATTGGTGGGAAAAGGCCTGTCTACTAGTATTAGCTATAGCTGTTACCTACCAGCCTTTCTAATGTCCTCCACCAGGGCCTTTCCTATCTGTCCCTCATAAAATGCTGTAGCTCCATTTTCTGCTACAGCTCTCAGTGTTTGCTGCAGTGCTGGCCACCTGAAGGTCTCTCCATGCTTCAAAAACCTTTGACCGTCACATATCAGTGGGCTGTTAAAGAAGAACATCCATCAGTTTACAGCATGTGCTTATTCTGTCCCCAGGGTCAATCTCTTTTTCCTTCCCAAAGCTGATTTGGTTTATGCATGTTGTATACTTTCCAAGCCAGTGCTACACTGCAGTCTACATGGAGAAAAGTTCTTCTCAGCTGATTGCTACCCATAGCACCAGGCACTCTTGCCCCAGGACCTAACACTTCGACCCTGGCTCAGGTCGGTGGGGCTTCTCAAAACGAGTGTCTGCTGTAGGGCCCTGCTGTCAGGGAATGATTTCCACACACATGGAGGCAGGCCACATACAGCCAGCTCCTCCTCATGAGCAGATGTACTTAGCAGACAGTTTTGCTGTGCCAAGCCACTCTAAATTACAAAAAAAAAAAAAAGTTGCTGACAGAAAAAAAATTAAAAAACCACTTCTGTTATTCCTTCCCTCTCCATAGCAAGTATTTACTGAGCAGAAGCTGCAGCAGCAGCCTGCACTCCATGTCAGCGTATCAGAGGAAGGGTCTGAAGCTGAGGGAACAGTGGTCCTCACACTGCAATTTAATTCATGGGTCTTACCACAGGCTTTTTCCTGGACTGGAAAAGTTTGGGTAATGGAGTATTTTGTCCATAACCAGGGAAATGACAAGTGGCTCTGAAAGGAGCTTGATGGTTGGTTCAAACAGGGCTTTCCATGGTAAGCGGCCATATCGCTTATGGGCTGCTTCATACCCACGAAGTTCTCCTGGTACAGCAATCCAGCGGGAACCTGAAGAGCAGAACGGCAGTGTCACACCCAGTAAGTCATTGGCCTGTGGGTTTCACTTCTCTGAAAGCATTCCAATGGAAGCGTGCATTTGTACAGGCGGGACTAAGGCTTCTAAAAGCAGCTTGGTTTTTTCTCTTTCCTTTTTCTGTTCGTATATTTCTTCCACTACCTAACAGAAGGGGTGTAGAGAAGCTGGAGCCAGACTCAGAGGTGCACGGTGAAAGCACAAGAGGCAACAGGCACATGTTGCAGCAAGGGAGATGGCAGCTGGACATAAGAGAAAAAGCAGTCACATGGAGCCTGGTCAAACACTAGAACAAGCGAAGCTGTGAAACTCTCCATCCTTGGAGAAGTTAAAAAATGTGACAGGACAAGGGCCCAAGCAGCCTGAGCTAACGCTGACATGACTCTGCTTTGAGCAGGAGTTGGAGCAGAGGCCTCCAACTGTCCCTTCCAACCACAGTTGTTCCCAATTCCTTTTCAGGCTCTTCTTCCAGGGATAAGAACATCTTCTCCAGGAACTAGGACATGCCCCAAAGGAAAATGTGCTAGGGAAGGAGAATAAACGCAGCAAGAAATGTGGAGAGATCCAAGACATGCTGCTAAAGCGCGAGTGCCTGTTGCCAAACCAGTAACAGCAAATGGATGTGGAGCCTCCCCAGATGGGAGCGAGGTGGTAGCTGAGCGAGGCTGGAGCCCAGCAACTCAGCTCCTGATGCTGCCAGGTTGCTTCCCCAGTGTAAGGACACGGGCAAGCACACCAGATGATTGATTTCTTTCATTTCCAGAAAGTCTGAGCAGCTATTGACCTTATTTTTCTCTGTAAGAACTGCTGGGAAATGAGTGCTTTGGGAAATCTGGTCTTGAAATGCAGACTTCCTATGAAGAGAAACTATATAGTGATTTCTCCTCACGCTCTGCTCCCCACCCCCTCGCTGGTCAGGTTGCCAATGTTACTATGAAACAGGAATTTTATGGACCTAGTATTTTTTCTTACTTTTGCAAAAATCAATCCAGGAAGAGCACAAGCAATTAAACAGGACTTCAGATAAAGTCAGCAAGGTCCTCAGTCCCCCCACCCTGAGCTTTTCGCCCTGCACGCCAAGAGGGCATGGCCCAGTCTGTGTCCTTACCAATGGGGAAACCAGCAGCACAGCCAGACAACAAGTTGTGCGGAAACACTCGTGGGACTGTCTCGCGGGCATTGATCACCTCGACTGTTCCTAGAAAGGAGAAGGGGAAAGGCATAACATTTTCTTCCGGAAGCAGGTGAACATGTCACTTCAGCCAGGTGTGAGCACCGCACAGGCTGCTAGCCCAGAGCCTGCAGCACCGTGCTGAACTGCCCTGAAGCCTTTTGCCAAGTGTGTCAAGCACACTTGCAGGGTCAGGCTGCAGTCGGCACACACTGTCGTTTGCTCCCATGCTTTTATTTAAGAGCAAACCGAGCAGGGTCTACCTAGAGGCAATGAAGGTACAGGGACAAGGCCAGGGCTGTCTCCAGCTAGTTAAGGTCCCCCCGCAGGGCTCCTGGGCCTGGGATGTGGGCTGGGACATGCTGCTTCACATCTGATTTGCAGGTTCCTGCACTTCCTCCACAGGTGGGACATGTCAGAGGCATAACATGAGCCTCATGCCCTTTGGTGGGCCATTTTCCAAGTGATGGTGAGGCATGTCAATCATGTTTGTAAGTCGGACGGTGATACTGAAAGATCCTCTCTCTCAGGAAGCTTGAAAGGAAAAAAAAAAAAAAAAAACCACAACCCAACCAAAACCACTTGTATACATTCGTATTTCAGGTCTAGCCTATTATTTCGCCTCCTTCTCTGCCTTGTATTTATCTTTTCTTGTCACAGTCCACAGAGCCAGCTGTGTTGCAGGAGACCACAGTGCTACCTAGTGTACCAAGCACCTGAGCTGTGCGTGGCCACATGCGGCTCTGTGCAGCAGGATAATTCAGGTAGCAGAAGACTGTTGATAGGAGACAAAGTAGCTCTGAGTAGCTCAAAGCAGCAAAGAGCCATGTAGCTCTGCCAAAAGGGGGGAAAAAAAAAAAAAAATATACAGGTGTTTTGCCAAATTATGCTATTGCATAAGATACACCCAAGCATTTCCAGATTCGTGACTCGTGAGACTACTTGGCAGCGTTTTTAAAACTACAATAGTGTTATTGTGTTCATTGTTGATTTTACTATTTAGATCTATAAACTCTGGGGGCTTTTGGGAGCCAAGGCAGTTAAAAAAAAAACCATTAAAACATAAAAGCAAGAACACAACACTAGGGGTTAAGCCAAACACAAAAGGGCCTCCCAGCAGGCCCTGAACGTTGCTAGACTGAGACTTCTGAAGGGAAGATGCATCTCCTGGGACAGGGTCTCACCGCCGCTTTGGGGAGTCCTACCCACGCCAGCGAGGGCAGCGCGAGATGCAGCCCCCACCTCGGCAGACACTGCCTGAGCTGCTGATGCAGGATGAGCCCCTGAAGTCCCAGCCCATGGGCTCAGCTGAGCCAGCCACAGCTCCATATTGCTGCGCTCATTGCCCGCACACACGCCTCACTCTGCTCCCGTCTGCCTCCACGGCAGCCCAGCGGCAGCTCAGACAGCACCGCTCACACCTTGCTGCGCTGTCAACTATGTGACTTTGAAATACAATTTGGGATTGCTTTGGAGGAGGAAGGAGAGGCAAAGTCAGGTCATTTTAAATCCAGAGCTTCTTCCCCCAACATGTTCTTGCTGTGAAAAGAATCACTCCCTGTAACGGGTCCTTTGGGTTAAGAGCAAAAGCACGGTTTGTGATCAGAGGATGCACCATTATATTCATAAAATTGCCCTGAGAGAACATGAAGGATTCTGACTTCTCCACGGCAGCTGGGTGTCTGCAGGGAGACGGGGCACCATGGAGAGGACAGGGCTGGCCCATACCTGTGCTGGCATTATAGATGGTAAATATGACCCCACCACCCAGGCCCGAACTCTGAGGGTTCATCACTGAGGTGCAGATCAAGCCAGCAATGGCCGCATCCACAGCTGTGCCTCCGCTTTTCAGGATGTCCCTGTGGTGGAAAGGGAGGAAAAAAAAGACTGTTAAAATACAGGGATGACAGAAGAGAGGAGCTACATGAAAATGTCTCCTTGGGGCACTTGTAAGGCAGTCCCAGCTTGACAAGAGCAGTTGGAGAAACCTATTGGCAGCAGTGTGGAGCGTGAGAGCGCAGAAAGGCGCCTTCTTTTGTGGGAGTGAGAAAGAAAAATTAGTGGGAAAGAAGGGAGAGTCTGCGGGAGGAAAGAGCAGCCAGGGGCCAGACCTGTGCGGGGCTGGTGTTCCTCTGGGAAAAGAGTGATGGGACAGAGGGAACTGCAGCCGCTCACAAATGCTGTTGACAGAAAGGGACAGCAAGGAGCTCCCAGATGTGGAGGAGGATGCTCTTGGCAGAGGAGAGAGCTTTCCACATGCTGGGAACCAAACAACTGATTTCTGGCTCCCCACCTACCTTCCCAATAAAAAGGCATATGCTGGTCAGCAGGACAGGGGCACTGAAGCAGGAACGATGGGTCTATGGGAAGCAAACTCCTGAGACTTAACATGTCAATTAGCACAAAATTCAGGCCTTACTTCATCGCTCCTACAATGTGCCTTCCTGGGCTTATGTGATATTAGCACAAAAATCCCACCTCCTCTCTGCATCCCCAAAGGCAAAACAAACAAAAACCAAACAGGAGGAAAAAAAAAAAAAACCTCAACGGTTTCTACCTAGGCGCAGCCACACCACACACACAGAGGCACTGAGGTAGCCTCATGCTGTTGATAGCAGTGAGTACCTACTGGAGAAATGCGTCTCAACAGATGTTTCCTTCAAGCACAGCTGTAAAAAAAAAAAATCTTTTCCTTGCAGTGGAAATGCGGTGGGGTGGGGTTTCCTTGCACAGCCTGCCAGTAGCCAGCACTGGTATTTGCTAGGAAGGTTTCCGACTGTTTGCATTGGGGTATTGCTTAGACAAGGCAAAGCCAGAAGGGAAAGTGGAATAGTTCATTGACTGGAGTGCAACTGCTCCCAGAGGCTGCAACAGGAACACAGAGCACATCTAGGGACTGCTGTTTATTTTACATCCATTGATATGGCTGGGACCTGCTGGGTTTGGGAACAGGATGCTGCCAGCAGGCCCTCTGAGCGTGGCTTTCCTTTGTTTCTGTAAGTGCCTTTGGAACCACTGCCTGTAAGGAAATGGCATGTGGACAAGTGGGGAGGAAAGAAATGGTAGGGAACCCCTGGGCTTTCTGTTTGTGGTCTGCATGGCTTTTAGCCTCCTAGCAGCAAGCTGCGCCCTGGCTGTAGCTCTGAAAATCGAGACTGAGGCTCAGGCTTGCTCATTCATCTCCTTGCAGCAGGGGTAAGACTCTCACCACACGAATGTCCCTGAGTGGTGTTTTTCTGAAACTGAAGCTTTTTAATTGCTAACAATAGAAGGGAAAGACACAAGGGCTTCATGAGAAACTGAGTCACCCCTGCAGAAGGCCCAGGAAGCATGTTAGAAAGTTGGGGAAGGAGGGGAGAAGGACCGCTATACTTGCCTGGGACAGTGCTCCTCAGAGCCCCTGGATTACGGGCCATGAGGCAGCACATGTACAAAGCCTGGTGCCAGGGAAAACCATGGTTCTGAAATAATTTGCAGTGAAAAACAACTTTAAAAAGAAACTTTGAGATTGCATGGTATTCATTTCAGTGCAATGCATTAAGACCTTAACATGGAAAATCAGACACATTTCTGTCATTTTCCCAAAGCCCGAAAAGCACCAGATCCTCACCCAACTTCCCAGCCACATTCACAGTGGTGTAAGTGGTTGCACATCTTGCACTACCTCTTGTCCAGGGACCCTCCTGCCACGCTCCTTCTGAAGTCGGTGCTGTACACACCTCACCACGTCCCCAGAAACACTTGTGCCTGGAGGAACACTCTCTGATGAAGATCCTCATCCCTTCTTGTGTCATCTGGTGATGGTCGTCTACCTGCTCCAGAAGATGAGCTGTTCCCCCACCACCACTGATCTGCACCAAGCCAGCATGCTCTGCACTGGAACTACATTAACTTAGCATGCTCGAAAGGGCGACCACAGTTAATCGATTTATTGATTTAATATTTGTACACCTAGATGGCCTGTTTCTGGATGATGCTAAGATCTTTTGGTGTTCCCAAGTACTTGTTTATAAAAGCAACATTGTGGGTTAAATACTCCAACTACCGCAAATGTAGTGCCATATGCACAAAGCATACAAACCTGAGAGTTTCTTAGCGTGACCTTATCCATGATCCCTCCCTCCAACACTCCCAGTTAGACATACAGCCAGGATAACACAAGCCATGTAAACTCCAGTTTGTGCTGTGCCCTTGGCTCGCACTGAGATCAGGAAGGACAAATGAGGTCTCAGTCTTAGCAGAAAAGGTGTATCTGACTGCTAAAGAGAGCAGCAAACTTCCCCAGGGAGCTGAGACCTGGACGGTTACTGCCATTGGCAAAAGGGACACAGATTTCCTGAAAGCATCAAGGAACAAGCAGGAGGAAGACGTTCACCGGCCAGTGGAGAGGACTTCAGCAGCGCTGCCAGGATGGACACATCCTGCCTGGCATGGCCGTGGCAAATCAAGTGCTTATTTATGGGCACTGATTACTCCAGCCTGCCAGTCCACCTAATAGTTTTCAGATGGGTCATTCCCAAGACACTGACATTGTGCACACCTCAGGAAAGGCAGGAAAACCAGAGATATTCTTTATTGTTCCTGCTCTGTGCCTAGCACAGTGACACCCTGATTTTTGGCTGCGACTCCTTGGTATTAATGCAATATAGAGCAAACATAACACCAACAGCCAACACAGGGACTCTTTTCCACAGAAAAGCAAAGCATGTTTTGCTTTGTCCTTGGTCGCTGGCCCTCATTAATCACATTTGGCAATATAAACAAAATGACAAGAAAAACAGAATTTCCAGATAATCCAAAAGTGCTTTCCATTCCTGTCTACTATGTCTATATTGGTGGCAACTGTCACCTCTGGTGGCAAATACCACACCTAACAACACAAAGTCAAACCTGTTTCTTGCTCAAGGGAAGGAGGGCTTTCCAGTTGCCTGTTGCCTTTCAGTGAGCACCACGGGATGGAGAGCTAAGGCACAGTGTGCGACATTTGAGACCACCTCAGTATGGGATGGGCTGTGTGATGCTGGGCATGGTCCTTTGCCTGCTGCTTCTTTGGGGGACAGGGGTTAGGGGGAAGGAGAGCTGAGATTTCTCCCCAAAACTGGGCATTATCTTGGCTCTTCCCAGCCTGGCAGGAAGCACTTCCAGCCCCAAGTCTCACAAACACATCTTGGAGGGCTTGCACACCACACTGATATTGTTTTCCTGGCTCTGTGGAGGTGCATGTGTGTGGCAAGTTTTTCACTTGAACACAAGGGGTGTCCCATGACACAGAACAGGCATGGTGGTAGCTAAGAAAAAGCAAGCCTTACAGTCAGGCTTTTAGCTTAAGCTCAGAAACAACTGAACCCAGCAAGGGTAAAACCAAATCCCGATCAGGGTTATTAACAAGATTTCTTTTGAGCTGCTTTGCCCTTTTACGCAGGAGGCCTGATACATGTCCCCCATCATCAGCACAGGGTCCGGGGCCCACAGCCATTCTATGCTATCTGCAGACTGGCCTCCAGTTTCGACAGCTTTCCCTCCAGCCTCTCTGGAGACTGAAACACAATAAAAAACACTCTCTGAGCTGGCTCTTGGTATATCACACTCGGCTCCCCATGCCTGGCTCACCTGCTTTCAGCCAGAGCTCTGCTGAATCCCCCAAGTGATGCTTGGGGAATTTAGGACCAGTCTTGCTCATCTAGCTGGACTGGCAGAGTACAGCCTGTCCCATTAGGTTGTTCCCTTTATATGGATCACTGCTACAACTAGCTTAATTATAATGCAAAACCCTGGGGAGACACATGACCCCTTAATCAAAGTGTAGTGCCTTATCAGGTCTCCCTAGAGACAGCTTAGTGCTACAGCTGACAAAATCTGATAACAACATGTTTTGTCCTATATCCTTCCTGCTACTTAGTTTCAGCTTTAGGGTTTGGCCATTAATTGCATTTCCTCAAAGTCAGGAGCAGAAGAGGATGTTAACGACCAAGTTCTGCTCCAGCAGCAGCAAAACAGGTATTCATCCTCCCAGAAGGATGAATGATGGCACTTTGCTCACACAATCCTCACTGCAAAGATGGGCTGTGCTGGGCTGCAGACCAAGTCTGCTGTTCTGCCCTGAGCTAGAAGGAACCCTGAAGCAATTTTAAATACACTGGAAATGCTAAGCTATTAAATTATATTGATTTTTTTTTTTTTCTGCTAAAGAAAGCTGGGGGCTGGGAGGAGACCACCCATTATATAGGAGCTGCCTGCTTAAGATTTATGAAGAGCAAAAGCAACAGCTGTTTCTCTAAAAAAGGGTCGATTGCCAAATTTGAAACCGATAAAATACAAGGAGAAGGGAAGGCAAATCCTTTGGGATATAAACATTCTTCAGAAATGCTGCTGGGCCATCACTGTAAAGGATTTTTGCAGCAGATTCTCTGCCTAGAACTGAGCTTCCCAGGACCGCAGACATTTTCTGACCATTAAATTCTCACCCTCCCCACCACCCTGTCCCCGAGGTGGGTGTTCGTTTCAGAAGCAGCCAGTTCCCAGGGTTTATGCTAGGCTACACTGGAGAAGTGGGATCAGAGATGCCTGCTGGGCCAGGTCAGGTCAGCTCGCCTCGCTGCAGCGAATCCCATCTCTGGGAACGAGCACTTTTCCTAAATCTCTCCCTGGCTTTATGCTGGCTCTTGCTTCTGCCATTTGCAAAACAAATGGATGCAGAGCAGTGGGTGGCAGAGCTCAAATGGCACATCGGTAGGAAATATAAAGCTTTTTGCATGGCTGATGGAAAAAGCCTCTTCCATTGCCAGGAGAGAACAAGTGGCTCAGAGCTGGAGGAGAAGGTGGGTTTGGGTACCACTCTCTGCCAGGACAATCACCTCCT